CTTTGATGTGTTTGTGGATGGCAGCCATCCCAAATGCCTTCCCCAGGCCTCGCCCCCATCAGGAAGTCTCCCTCTGGCTCTCTCCAGGAATGCCCAGATGGGTTATCATCTGTCACCTCCCCAGAGGTGACCAACTCAAAAGAGCCACTCTGGGCTTTCAGACACAGTAGGTGAATGCAGAGATTTCTTGAGGGCAAGTGTAATGGTGAACATGGATAACCCCAGAGCCTGTGAGACGTGGGTAAACGGTGAGGAATGGGCTTCTGAAACTGGCTGTGAGTTTAATCTTACTGAGTTTTAATTCTGTGTATCAAAGCCCTTCCAGTACCACCCTGTGCTCACCCACCTTCTGCTCAGCCTGGTGGCTCTGGGGTTATTTGTCTGGCCTGGAGGACAGATGGGTCCATGAAGCTCCTCAGCAGCTGTTGGAAGGAGGAAGGGAAACTCTTTGAAGGACAGAAGGAGAAAACTTACTGGTGGCTTGGAAGGGTTTGAGTAATGAAAGGCTCCAGAGTGGCAGGCAGCTGGGGCAGAGGGGACTGAGTAGTCCTTGAAATGCACATCATGCCTCCCCTCTGTGAAAAGCAGATAGAGCTTTGCAAATGCCAAGGCTAGAAGGAGCATCATGAGTGCCCAAGTCCAACTTCCCAGGGCAAGGAAAGCATTCTGCAAGTTCTGCCAGCAAAAGCATCATCCCCAAGAGACTCACAGAGGGACTGACGGTACCAGATATGCTGAGCAACTCCAGGAGCAGGAGCCTGCCTGCCTGCTTGGCAGAGCTGTTTGCAGAACTGTTTAGTGTCAGTGAGACTGATGAACACTCCACAGTAGTTAAGGGATGCAGTGGGATGTCATGGAGAAAAGTCCATCGCTAAATATTTTGATTTGAGGAGCGAAGAAAAGAAAACAATTGGCATTTTAGCAGATGGGGGGAGAAAAAAAAGATCTGGAAGCAAGAAGAAAATCCTGCAGAGAATGAGGCATGATTTTTTAAAACAGCTGCAAGATGTTCTTCTTGGAGGATCAGGGAAGCACGTTAGGAAAGCGCTGGAATGGACCTGGTTCTTTACAAGCACATCCTCACGCCAAGTCCTATCAACTTCTCTGCCATGAAGCAAACCACCAAAACGTGGGACCAGCTGCAGCTCACACGACAGCCAAGCCAGACACACAACCTCTGGGAGACCATCAGCACCACAGACAATGGAATATGCACCATCAGCAACCAGAGTCATCACCTAAACAGCTACAGAACTATTCGAGACACGATGCAGGGTTTGGGGTGATACTCAGAAAGCTACTCCAGATGCACATGGAGAAACTCTGAGGAAGATGATGTCTGAATTGGATTAACCCCTCATTGGGCCACAGGATCTGTCTACACTGGAATGGGGACAGTGACTTGGGCCTGCAAAGACAGAGCTGTTTCAGTCTACCTAGCTCATGTTCCCAGATATCACATCCAATGGCATCCCTGCTGCTGCTGGACTTCCCACAGTCATGCCACCACCCACCACTGCCTATTCAACAGGACACTGTCCCCAGCCCCTGGAGGTGTGCCAGGGAGTGCTGAGGCTGCTCAGTCTCTGCCACACGAGAGGGCTGCTTTGCTTGCTGCCAGAGAGCAATTCCTCCCAGCTCTCCCCTCTCGCACACATGTGCCAGGTGTGAAAACCAGGGCAGACATTAAACCCCACTGCTCAGCTCTCACAGCACGGAAAAATAAAATCACTGGCTGGTCAGCCAAACAAGCAGGTGGGAGTGGTACAGACAGAGGCAGGAGAGAAGGTACTAAACCTGCCCAGTGCTCCCAAGTGCCTCGTTATACTGATTTATGTTTAGCTAATTGAGAAAATGACTCTACCTACACAACCCAGGCCCTAATTCAGAAAGGCCAAAGCTTTTTAGTGTCTCTACCTGCATCTTAAAAGGGCATGATTTAAACCCTGTAACTAACAGGCTGCCAAAGGCAAGGGTTTGAAGGATCTGATGTCCTATCATGCCGAGGGGGTGAGGCTTGGCTAACTTCTCTCGTTACTTGGTCTTTCCCCACTGACGTACCAAGTTTGCTGCTGGGACATAAATCAGGGGAAACGATGAAGCAAACCAGTCTCATGCCCCATCAAAGCAGCCAACACTCCCTTTAATGGGACCATGCAGGCAGGCCCTAAATAGGGCCCTTAATAAGCATGTGGTTTCTGTAATACCAGCCCACATCTACACACTGCTTGCACTGCCACTGGCAAAAACCTTTGCCCCTTATGCACCACACATGCTTATATCCATGGAATTAGAAAAGGGATCATGATATAATGCCAAAGTGTTGGGCACAGATTTCTGGGTTGGATCAGGCCTGCAGAAAAATTTTAGCTCTCTCTCAGTAACTGCAGGAACCCTTGTACACAGTCATGGCACGTGCAAGAGCAGAGCACAGAGACCCCAGACCCTGTGTCTACAAAGGGTCACACAAAAGTACCAAACTCGGCCTAGGACCCACAGGTGCTCAAAGATCCCACAAAAACTGGGGTAAACTCCAGTCCTCGTATCACAAGGGTCTAACCCAAATCTGAACCTTGACAAAAGGGTGATAGGAACAGAAAGCCTAGAGATCCTACTGTCCTAAGCAGAAATACAGAACACAGAGGGAATCCCAGCAAGGGAGGGAATTCAGTGGTGCTCTGCCCCTTTCTTTGGCTCCTGAACTGCCCAAGGTTAACTGTTCCATGAGCAACCCTCTCTAGCATGTTCTTAGTGCAGCTGGTCAGTAAACACAGTACCCCCCAAAACAACATTCCAGTTACTACATTTCTTTCTTACTGGTTTTCCCTCATTCGGCTCGTGTGGGATCCAGGCTCAAAGGAAAGACTCCATGCTTCACAAAAGGTATTAGGAAGACAAATGGCTGATGGAGAACTCGATTCCCTCCCCACACAGCTACCCCAAGCTCAAACCTCCTGAGAGCCCAGCTTCATCTGGCTGGATATACAATCAGATTGGGGGTTGTCCAAGTGTTTTACACCACGCAGTAGACATCCATGGGAACCCCAGGCTGAGTCATGACCATCTGTGCTCATTTAAACATTCCTTGACAGAGGAGGGAGTGCTAATCCTGAAATCCTGGCCAAAACACAACATGGACAATTATACCGTGCTTTGTAACATTCTCACAGGGGTGTACATTGGTGTTTTCCAATTCTTCCCGTCATGGCAATGTGGTGGTCCAAGACAGAAACGGCCACGTTGCCACAGGAGAATGCAAGTCCCCTGTGACAAGCCCCGCAGTGTTACTGTCAGACATCACACCTCGCTCTGTTCCCCCTGCTGGGGGTGTTCAGTCCCAGCACGCTTCACACTCAGACTTCTCCCCCTACCTGTGCAACTGTTCCTCACTAAAGATCTGTCCATTCATTCCTGATCCATGCTGAACTTCTTGTTTTTCCGTTCTTCTGAAGAGATACAGCACACCAGTGGAGTGAAGAGCACACCTGCCCTCGGTGCACTCCAGGGGCAGCAAACCCAAACACTGTAGGACACAGCAGATACTACGAAGGGAGAAACGGCTTCTGCTTGGAGAGCCTCAATTCCAACGGTTCTCTTTCCTTCAAGGAAAAACAAGTCAAAAAACCCAACCCTCCTGTTGCCCCAAAATCATCTCCTGGCATTTCTGACCAGCACACATGCTGTTACAATTAGGACTGGACTCCCTGGCTCCGGCACAGGGGGAATGTTAAACCGGCACACTGGCACCCATCAAAACATTTGAGCACTTCCAAAGTGGAACTGACACCACGGCAGTGGTTTGTATCACACGTCACACAAAGGCTTCGTAACTTAGATCAAACAATTTAACTCCTGAGCTCCCTGTCCAGCGAGAGCAACCAAAAGTTAGGCTGCTGCCGTTATCCCATCCGGCTGTTTCATGTGGCTCCCAGCCAGCTCATTCCATTCAGGAAGCTCAGAGGTTAAAGGTAGATAGAACTGGCCAGAATTTCAACGAGGGACTTGCCAGAGAACAGAACCTGCTGATTCTAACAGCATCTTCCCTCTCAGGCAGAAACAGCACCAGCGCTATCAGGATGGTACAGAAGAATTTTTCAGCTTTTAAGCAATTTTGCTGGATATAAACTTAATCCATTCTAGGCAACTCATATTCTTAAGCAGTTGTCAAAAAAGATCTTTGGACTTGTAATTTTTTGCCATTTTCAGAGTTCAAACAATTATCTTACCTGTGACAACGAGGTGCAACGAGTAGGACTAATTTAACCACATTTTAGCCTGCTGGAGAACCACAAATAAGATGCAAAATGGAGTGTGATTCCAGTGAACTCAACTCTTCTGCCAGAAGCTCTGCTGTGTGTCCCCAACGAGCTTAACACAACTGTAATGAGGAACAGGACTTTGAACCTCTTGAGGAACAACTGGGGGCAGCTGCAGAGGATGGAAACAAGAATGGTACAATTAAATTATTACTGCACTTGCTGGTTTCCAGCTCTGAAAACCATCATCAGGTGGCTACAAGCTGTCCTGCAAACGCAGACAGAGCAAAGGAAGTCACTCACAATTTTCTCATAATAAAATCAAATCCTCTGCTTCAGGTCTTCCAGCAAAATAACAGGGAATGCAGTAAACCAGCAACAACAGAGCAATGCTTCATACGTATTTCAAGCACTATTTTGGAGTTCTCTAACTTTAATCAACCACAATTATGAGTGGCTTCTCTAGAAAACACTTTCTCCTGTGCATGGAACACCAGTAAAGATTTTCCACTGTTGCCCTGGGCCAGTTAGCTGAAGAGATTCCTGCCAAGCCGTATCCTGCCATGGCTTTGCTTCATACATCTCCATATTCTGGAACAGCCTTTTTTGAAGGTTTTACCTTCACACAGCGGAGAGTTGCCAAAGGACGTATCTGATTCTGCCATTTATCACCTCCTGTGGAAAAACAGCCTGGGATACACTGTGTTAGTCTCAGATATCACAACTGAAAGCAACCACACTGCGTACAAGATGCACTGATTTATTAATAGAATAAAAACGAAATGTAGTGACATGCTTTTCCACTGTTAAAGCCACGGAGACAATCAGCGTCCCATTTATATACTCGGTGGCGTCACTCTGCAACTCATTCATAAACTCTGAGCGACATGTTCGGGTCAGGTATTCCAGGAAACCATTCCCACACTTCCACGTTACAGAGCGGATAACTCTGAGTGCAAGTCCCCACGGTTTGCAGCTGCAATCAGTCTATGGGAGATTTTCCTACGTCCTCCTCTAATTCCTGAGACTTTCTCCACCTGGAATAGCTCTTTAAAGCCTTTCAACAGCAACAGAGTGAACCAGCTGAACTTTTTGTGGGGTACAAAACTGCTTTTCCAGCAAGAAAATGCACTGAACGTTATACAAAAATAGGCTCATTTCCAACAGCGGAGATTATTTATTACAAGATCCCTGGCTAATTATTGGCACTTTGAGGCAACTACAACGGAGAAAATGTTTGCAATGGAACAGCTTTAAATGTAACACACTCTCTTGTGTGTTTCTACTTCTACATTCTCTGCAAGGTTTTAAACTGTAACCCACATTTTTGTTAAAGCATAGCTGGTGGGATTCCACAGATAACAGATTTATCCATGTACAGCTTGGTAACGACCCAGCATCATCTGAAACAAACAGGCAAAGTGATAAATATGAGGTATTAACACTGACTTTGCAATTTGCCCCGATATGCAAATTTCCTTTACACGAGGAAGGAGTATCATCTACAAAGGCAATTAAAGTAAGCACTTGGGTTTCATGGCATTAGAAACCGTTGAAAACTAATCCCTTATGGATACAAAGGAAGACAAACATCCTATTGCAGATGCCAGGGGACAGAATGCATTCTGAAGCAGATCAAGGTGTGTTTTCTCCTGTAGATACCTATCTCTTGCACCCCGCTCAGAACAGGTATCTGTGACACCAACAGGCTGAAAATCTTTGGAAAAACCCTACTGTTCCCTTGCAAGTGTCCTGTTTCAGGAAGGTATAAAAGCCCGTGAAGAGCCGGGCATTAGAACATGAACGCAAACCAGAAGAGACGATGACAGATGGTGAACCCCAAATGAGAGTCTCATGAAAAAATAAAAAGCACCTTTAAAATTTGAAAACAATATTAAAGGAAAAGGGAAATGAAGTGCACATGACTGGCACTGCCAAAGCCCAGATATAACCTACAAGCCTGCAGAGAGTACATCATCAGTAACCACTGCTCATCTGCATCCAGCAGTCATGTAGCAGAACAAGCTGGGGAGCTTTCCGAAGTCACATCTACTGCTTGAGTTTGTCTGTCCATACTGGAGAGGGATTTGGTGCCAGAGTTTTGAGACTGTTCAGAAACAGCAGGAGAAGCAGCAGCATGGTTGGCACGCTCGCCCTCCCGCCCTGCACCACTGGCAGTGGGGCTCTCCTTCGCTGTCCCAGCGTGACTGTGTGACTGGCTGCCTCGTCCTGCTGCTTCTGCCTCCTGCTGCTGCAGCATCCGCTCCACCTCGATCTCGAGTTCCAGATTTTCCTCATCTGCCTCCACATCCAGCTGCTGCATTAACTCCTCCAGCTTCCTGGCCTTGCGGAGCTCGTTCTGCTGGATGATGGTGCACAGGTGCTCCGTGAGCTGCTCCTTCAGCTCCGTCTTGTGCTGCAGGTCCAGCTTGGCCGCCACGTACTCCGACTCCGCCTTCTCGTACCGCTTCCTGCAAAATCATCACCATTTCCAGTGGGTTAATTCTCAAAGCACTCCACAGTCTGACATACGGACAGACACTTCAAACACCCCTGAAATGCAACGTGCATTACACCAGCTGTTCATGACACGCTGCTCCGTTAGCAAAAGGGAAGAAAATAAGCGTGAATTGATCAAAACTTCTCTGGACGCTCTAGGCTCTGCTGCTGTGCACTCCAGGAGTTAACATGCTCATCTGCAATCTATACACTGAATCGCAAACACGCACTTTTGCTGCCTGTTTGAAGGGATGCAGAAAGAAACCACCAGAAATCGCAGTGTTTTCACACTTGTAAGGAACACCCACCCAGCGAACTGAGATGCTGCACAGCAGTTCGGGGCTCCTCTAACCCAACCACCCCCCGACAGATACGGATGCTCAAAGGAGCCCAGCGTGGATACACATGGACACAGGGATCGTGTGCTCTTCTGGCCACCCAGAGACACGTTGAGAAAACCAGGAGCAGCCCAGGCTGACACAGCACGTGACATCAAAAGTGATCACAACTTCCGCGCGGCGACAGATGTAGGATTTTATTGCGAGCATCCCCCCGACACTCACCTCCCGCCAGTGTGCACTTCCTGTCATGACAAGTACAGCAAAAAGGAAATATTCTAAATACTTAGGGAGGTTGACACACAGAGACCATCCAGCACTTTAATGGCTGGTGTCTGCATTAGTGATGCTTCTTCCCCTGCATCAGTAAATGGGTGTATTCATTCCAATTAACAGAAAGATGCAATCTTGCTCATCAGGAAAAGGTTCCTGCAGCATGGCTAAGGGATGCACCTGACACAGCACTTACAAAACTAATGGAAGGAAGGGGGCTGAATAAAGAATCCAGCCCTTTTGTAAAACCAGAATCTGTCTAAACAAGGCAACAGAAAGACAGGACCCTTCGCTGAGTGAAACAGAAGGAAACAAGACATAGAAAAGCCTTCCCAAATATGTTATTTTATGCAATCATCACAAAACTTTGACTCATATGAAAAGGGGCTGTGTCTGCACTGGGCAGAAGATGCTCATTTACATTTGCCTCTCAGGAAAGTCAAGATTTCTCTGGGTCAGACACCTGAAATGGAAAAACTAATAATACTATGCTGGAAACATCTGCACAGTTAAACCTTTGGGCTGAATTCACAGAAATTACTCACATCATATTTATGACAATTCAATTCCACGGCGATTGTCAAATGCCCCTAACTATGTATGTGCTCAGGAACTATTAAAAAATTTTGACCCACTGAAGTGATTTTTGGTTTAGCCCTAAAACAAAATTTGCTTTAAAAGACACCATTTAAAACTAAATTGGCTTTAGCTTGTAATACATAAAAGCTACAATACTGGAAGTATCTAACTTGCATTTCCAAATCCCTCCCTCACAAAAAGACTAAGTTCATAAAAGTCATTAAGAATTTGGTAAATTTTATCCACTTGTCCTACCAGCACCTCCTTTTGTTCTTGCCATCAAAAACTGCTTTCCAAATGTCAGAGCCCTTCGTGTTCTGTGCTCTTTTGCCAATAAGCATTCCAAGTAGACACATTATTACAAAAGTTGGGTATGGAGATTTGCAGGAGCATGTCATGGTTTCAGAAACACTGAAATGTTTTTCCACTTGAGGACATGAATTTCTGTATTCATATGCAATTAGTCGCTCTAACTACAGTTAATCTTAGATATTTTAAATTATAATTACACTAAAGAAATGTTAATTTTTTTTTTTTTAGCTACCACTGCTATTTTTTAAAGACTAATTCTCATGTTTATTGGCCTGTGGTCAATGTATAGCAAAAGTCAAGAGCAGAAATGCACATTTAACACATTGAATTGTGAACCAAAAACCGCAACCAAACATTTCTGTTTTATGAAATGGCTGCACAAACATGCTGATGTTTATCTACTGATGTTGTGGCTTACCCACAACTAATGGGGTGTTCCAATTAATTTCTTGCATTTAAGGAACTCATCAGAACCAGAGTGATTAAAGGCACATTGTGAAGGGTGAAAGCTTGCTTTTCCCTTCAGTTTTTGGTCCTGGATCCAAAAGCACTTCAGCAGTATTACATGTTTTAAGCTTAATTGGTCCCATTGATTCCAAAAGGACCAGAGCTGTCATCAACAAGCAAGTTTCCCTGAAAAGGACTTTCATTTTAGGACTTTTCAAGGAAAACCTCTTTCCCCCTGAGAAGAAATAAACAACCTTGAAACAATAAAGCAGGGCTTATGGACAACTGCACAGTTAAAAAGCACTGCTCACGTCTCGTGACAGCACACTCTGCACTCAGAAAACCTGCTCTGGTTTCCAGACTCCAAGGGAAAAATTAGGAAATAAAAAGCCACACTTTTACCTCAAGGTTTGAAAGCCCCCCAGACTGTGACTGCTTTAACTACACGTTATTACAATGACATAACTTCATTACTGCTTTGGCGACAGGAAACAGCATTTTCTCCCTGCTCTTGGGCAGAGCTGTTCCCTATTCCCTCCTCCCTGTCCGTCACTTACCGGGCATGGGAGTATTCCAGGCTGGCCTGGTCGATGCGGTTCCTCAGGATGCCAATGTCAGCAGACACCATGTCATCCAGAGCCTGCAGCTCCTTCTGAATCCTCTTCAGTTTCACTGTTTCAGCTTGAGTTCTTTTGGATCTGCAAAAGGAAGATGCTTATTTTTACCCCCCTTTTCAAAGCCTCTCTTCTTGACATACCAGGCCCCATTTCATCTGCAGAGCAACCAACTTCTTTAGGATCTGCTCGGAAGGTTTCTCCTTTATGGTTTTGGGCTTTTGATCTTTTTCAGCATCCACAGGGATCTAAAATGCCTGCTATTAAAGGACTACGGCAAAATTACGTAATGACTATAATCAAAGTGCCTAAAATGGATTGTGTTCCTTCACTGTGGAAACACACAAGAAGCTGCTGTATCCAACTAGTTCCCAGTGTAAGGAAACAGGAAATGGCTTGGGGGGGAAGTGAGAGGGGGAAGGGCATTTAGCCCTGCAAATATCCCCTTTCAAAGAAGCCCAGTTAGTAGGGGCCAAAAAGTCAGCTAACCTAAGCTTGATTTCCATTTTGCAAAATTATTCCCAAAAGGCCCAGCCAAATCCCCATGAAAGTGAATGGAAAGTTTTACATCAAACACAAAGGATTTCAATCAAGCCTCACGTAACCTTTTTCAACTCAGCCTATTCATTCCCTAGTCCTGAAAACTAAACGTTGGTAAGGGCAGCAAACTTTGATGGATTTCACTCCCAAGCAAGTGGAGTGACTTTCATCATCACCAGCAAATTCACACTTTCCAGCCACTGCTTTACACCCCAAGTAGGTATCTGACACCGAGACTAATTGCGCAGGAAGTGACACCATCTCTCATTAGACCAGCTGATGCACACGGAGGGGAAAGACACCTGTGGTATTGCTGAAAGCCTGAGGAAGGGCCGTGAATGTCTGATGTAACTCCCTCGGTATCACTTTCCACGTCCTCCTCTCTCTCCTCAGGCTTTGTTTCCAGGAGGAAGAACCCAGCCTGGTGGTCACACCCATATTTGCTGTCCTGCAGTGACTCACAGCAAATGTACTCCTGCTTTCTCTCTGCCTGGCAAAGGAAAACATAATTTTCATGACTTTAAAGAGAATCCTCTGCACAGTACTGTTGTTTTCACTTGTGCTACCCAAGGGCTCTGATGGGCAGAACACAACATGTCTGGGACAAACCTGAAAGCTTCACATCACTTTCCTTGATCCAGTGCTATGAGCTGTTCCAACATCCTTCCCTACAAATCTTGCTTTCTGTGTAGTATTAAACTATTTCACTGTACAATGCCTTAAAGTCTGGTCCCCTGAGGAGCAAGAGCCAACAAATGAGAACACGTGAATTTCTATCATTTCTAATCAGCCAATGATAAAATGGTATCTTCTTCAAATTAAAGCTGATCATCTTCTCTTTTCAATACTCTTCACATACTCATAAGAGTCAAAAGCTCAAACAGTTTCTCATCATAATTTAGGAATCAAATGAACTTTCCTTAAATTCAGCAAAAACAACTCAGGAACAAAACAGGGATACGCATCTGAGCATCCCAACTTCCAAACATGATCTCACTAACAAATTCAAGGACTTAGCTAATTCTCGAGTTGTGTAATAACTTTTCCATCTGCACACAGAGCTGCAGCTTTGGAAGTGTGAAAAGCTCGGTCACAACTTCTTAGCCAGCACTTGTCATCAAAGGGAGACGTCGCTCACAGCTGCTCACTTGTGGAGCAGCATGCACAGAGCACAGAGAGGAGGAAGAAGTGACATTTAAATCAAGATCTGCAGATGAAAAGTAACCCCTTGCCCGTGCCCAGCCCGTGCAGCACAGTCTGTTACCTCTCAGCAATAGCTCTGGCCAGCAGAGCCTTCTTGCGCTTGTTCTTCTCCTCTATCAGCCGCTGCTCCTGCTGCAGGATTTCCCATCGGGATTTCTCCTGCCTGCTCGTGGAAAAGAAGATCAAAATTAACAGAAAGTTCGTTTCTCTCCCTGTTTTCCAAATAACACAAATATTCATCATCATACTTCCTGGAGGAAACCCTAAAAATGTCAAAGGAACAATAAAGAGGCTTCAGTTCTAAGGAAAGAAGCATCACCTGCAAGAAGTCGTTCAGAGCAATAAAACCATTTTCAAATTAAATCCGCTGATCGTCACAAAAATCTGCACAACCAGATAAGCTGAGAGCATGGAGCACTTTTTCAGAAATGGATGGAATTTTTCATTTAAAGGATGTGCTTCCCCACGAGGTAGAAGCAGTTTCAAGTTTCTTACTGGCTGCTACAAGTTGCCATCTGTTCAGTCTGCCAACACAGTCTCTTTTGGGGAAATGGTTTTTTTTTGCATAAAATAGATTCTTTCACAGGCCTGCTTTACAAAACAGTCCCCAAATAATTAAACTGATAAAAGTCATAAAAAGAAAGAACAAGAATTCACTTTTATCACTAGGGAAAGAATATTGATTCCCTTTCCTAGGCTACATCTACTAAGAAATATAACCAGCCCCAGAAGATGGGATCCGGGTGAGGGGGGACAGCACAACTGGGTAGGATTTAGGAGAAACAAAAAACTGCTTTGCCGCTTTTCCACTCCATCGTGTTCTTCATGCCCTCTCTGAAGAACCCTCAGCTTAAAAATACCCAAGTAACTCAGCTACTACCAACCATTTCTGCACAAGAACATCTCTTCAGATTTCTCCTCATCACCCCATCCCTAAAACCTCATGCAGAGAAATATTTGCAGTAAGATGTAGATTCAAGTGCCCAGGCTGAGATGAGTCCAGTGGATCCAGGAGGTGGCTGTTGCAGCAAAATGTCATTTGTCACCACAGTGTGAAAAACTTCTCTGCAAAGCTCCAGGTGTTTTCTCCCCAAAGAGTGCCTGTGTTTTCCTCACCAAAAGGGAGTTGAACGATGCCTGGAAAGCTGCTGATCCCTGCCTAGGGAATACAAATGATGCATGGAAGTTTGGAGGCCAGCCTTCATAAACCACTAGAAGACATCTCAGGCACTTTATGATGAGCAGTGCCACTGCCACAAGAAATTATCTGAAAACGGCACTGTGCATCTCTGCACAGAGTACACTGCAGAATTTGGTCCTTAATCACGTTTAACCCAACTAGTAATTAAAACCAAAGCTCTGATACAGAGCAATATGGTCACAGAATCACAGAATGTTTGTGTTGGAAGGGACCTTAACAATCACCACATTCCAACCCCCTGCCACAAGCAGGGACACACCTTCCTCTAGACCAGGTTGCTCCAAGCCCTGATCAACCTGGCCTTGAACACTTCCAGGGATGGGGCATCCACAGCTTCTCTGGGGAACCTGTGCCAGGGCTTCACTGTCCTCATAGGTAAGATATTTTCCCTAATATCTAATCTACACCTACTCTCTGTCAGTGAAGCCCTTCCCCCTTGTCCTGTCGCTACATGATCTTGTAAATAGTCTCTCTCCACCTTTCTTGTGGGCTCCTTTCAGGTCACAACTAGGTCACCCCAAAGCCTTCCCTTTTTTAGGCTGAACAATCCCAATTCTCTCAGTCTTTCCTGGCAGGAGAGGGAATGATTTGATCTCTCAAACCTTCCAATTAGACACAGAAAAGTTCCCTTTACTTCTCAATGAAAGAACGAATCAATGCAGAGCAATATCCCCCACCCCAGATTTTACCGACTTACTAACAATTCCACTTTCTTTCTCTCCACTTGGGCGCTGGGCTGTGCAGGGCGGGGCTGGGCACTCTCCCTGCCATTGCAAGGTGTCACCTCCTCCTGCTGATCCCGGCTGTCACTTTGCCTTTGATCTCCAGCAGGAGGAGGACGAGGAGCTGGCACTGGCTGCTGAGGGTGACAGGGCTTGTGCTTTGGTGCAGAGAGCAACTGCTCTGGAGTGACAGGGGCTGCCCCACCCTGCAGTCCCAGCCTCTGGCATTGCTGCTGGAGGGCTTTTTCCCGCTGCAACTGCTTCCGAGGCTTGTTCCCAGGGTGGGGGCGAGGCTGCTGCTGCTGCTGCTGTGGCTCCGAGGGCTCGTACAGCTCTATCAGTGGAGAGGGAGAAATGGGATTAGAAACAAATCTCAGCGTCAAAGAATCCGTGAATGAATTTTTCTGGGCGAGCAACTGCTGCGCAAGCAACATAAGGATGAGACAACCAGGGTGCCACCGGAAGGCGACGTGGGGGAAAATCCGGGAAGCTGGAAAAGTTTTGCTAGCATAAGGATCTGGAGTTTTAAAGGATATGAGCATCCCTAAATGAGGAGAAGGAGGACTAAGGGGCCTGGACTACGGGACAAAAGGAAGAACGATAGGAGCGAGGCAACTCTTGGGATAATTATGGAGGCAGATCTGAGGCTGAAGAAGGGTCCCAAGCAGCCTGAGGGGCAAACTGAGGACATAAAGTGGGGAACGGGAAAGAACAAGGAGACACGTGGGCAAAGAGGAGGCCGGGAACACGAATGGGGCAGTGGGCAGGGATCTGGAAGCAGGACTAGGGCCTGGAGAGTCTGGAAACGCGACCGGAAGGTTGTGGGGAAAGAGAGAGGGGCTGGATGAGGGGAAGGGTGAGAGATGGGGCTGGACAGGAGGGGCCGGGGGGCTGCCCGGGGCAGCGCAGGCGTTTGATGCGGGGACAGCACGACCTGAGCTGAGGGCTCGGAGGAGCTGCGGGCGGAGGGGCTGAGGGGAGGCAGGTACAGCCGCGGCGGTGCCGAGGCCGGGGGGCTCCCCCGCTGCCCGGTGCGTACCTGGGCGCTGCCCCCGCAGCCGCCGCAGCTCCTCCTGCGAGAAGCCGGCCCAGGCCTCGGCCATGGCGATCCCTCCTCCTCCTCCTCCTCCGCCGGCGAACGCCGCGGACAGCCCGGCCGGGGCCTCGCTGGGCGCCGCGGGGCGGGGCGGGCGGGAGAGATGGCGGCGTGAGGGGCGGGAGAGGGAGGGGAAGGGACGTGAGGGCCGCGGATGGTCCGTGCTCCGGGGAAAGCCGCCGTGGGCACGGCCCCGCCGGCGCTCCTGGGAACACAGTGCCGTAAAGAAACACAGAATCGACGAGGCTGGAAAAGAACTCTGAGATGATCGAGTCCGACCTGTGACCGAACAGGGCTTAAATGAGGCTTGAATGAAGGGGGGAAGCCGCACCCGAATAAAGCAAACTTTAGGGAACATTACACGCTCCACCACCCCACCCCCTGGTCACTTACAATCTATAATTAATGTAAGAAGAGCAGGTGAGGTCCTGCTCCAGTTTGTCTAGTTGAAGTTCCAGTGACACCACTGTGAGGAAATCATGGAATCACAGAGTGGTTTGGGTTGGAAGGGACATTAAAGCTCATCCATCTCATTCCACCCCCTGCCATGGGCAGGGACACCTTCCACTAGCCCAGGTTGCTCCAAGCCCTGTCCAACCCGGCCTTGGACACTTCCAGGGGTGGGGCAGCCACAGCTTCTCTGGGCAACCTGTGCCAGGGCCTCACCACCCTCACCAGGAGGAATTCTTTCCTAATATCTAAATCTCTTTTCATTTAAAACCATTCCTCCTTGCCCCGTCACAACCTGTCCATGTAAAAAGTCGCTCTCTCTCTTTTCTTACAAGCTGCCTTTAAGTACTGGAAGGCCAGCAAGGAAAAGTATTATTTTGCCCACGCTAATGTTTCTGAAAGTCTGCTCTGACCACTGTGCACCAGGTTGCACACACACGCTCCATCCTTAGGCATAAACTGAGAAGATCCCACAACAAACAGCAGTATCCCTCAGTATCCACGAAAAGAAGCTTTTCCCCTTCCATCCCAGACTCTGGTGGCTGCTGTCAGAGGCCCTGTGGATGAGCTCCCCTCCCACCACGAGCATAAAGGCACGAGCCCCCAGCTTAGGTGCAGCAGCCCAGGGGCCTGCGGGCTGCAATAATACATCATCATCAGCAAAACAGGGACATTTCCAGTGCCTCACCACATCCCTCCCCAACTCCAATCTGTAAGGGATTAGTCAAGCTCTGGAGCTCCCCAAGCAAGCCCATAACTTGACAGCCATGGATGACACTGCAATTTACCGCGGCAGCACTTCCAGCAGCTCCTGCATGACTAACACAACCCATAAATACCGACCCTAGACAGGGGGGGAGCGGCCCTGAACTAGCAGGCATGAAGTGTTTCTGATGGGATTTGGCCCAGTGAGTGCTTTTGGGGAACACAAGTGCCACCCTTTTTCACCTGCAGCTCAGCTGGAAGCCTTGATGCTGAGCAGAGGCATTGCAGGCATCCAGTGGAGGAGGAGAACATGGTTATCTCACCCAGGAAATCCTTCCTGGATGAGCCTGGGGCAGGGGGATGCTGAGTGGCCCTTCAGGCAGGAGGTTTCCTCTGGGAAACCTGACTGAGCACAGGAGAGATCTGAATGAGAGCCATGATCCAACTTTGACTCAAACACTCTCAGTCTCCAGGGAGTCCAGATGGCAGAACCAGGTGTCAGCTTGAATTTTACAATGGAACAGCGTTGGCTTACAACAAGGTGTGGGCACCTAATTCCCTTTTAGATGCCCATATAAGAGTCACAAATCTAAACCTGTTCTGATGTCTAAATCACAGAAAGGGGCTGCACCAAACCCACAGATACCAACAGAACGTGCTTCATGAAGTACAGAAACGTACTTTTTGAACTCTGGTTCTTTCTTCTCTTCCAAGCTTTAGTGCTATGAACAGAAGTGAAGCACCATGTTCGCTTTACTGCCAGTAAATATCTATTCCAGGCCCAGAGCGTGTTTTATAGGAAAAGTATAAAGACTTCAGAGTTGTTAACTAGAATGCTATAGGCAAAGCAGCAATGCATGCTAACAGCTTCCATCAGCCAAAGGTTTAATTGCTGGCCTTTGGGCCAGGTTGCTCCAGGAACAATTACAGCCCAGTGAAGTCATTTCATGCAGCATTTACCAACAGCAGGTTTAGAAAACGCAGGCTGACCATGTCCTCTGGCTGTTTAAAGTCCTGTGAGTAGAACATGGCACTGAACATTTGCCGCCTAGGAATAAAGTGTTTTCCGAGCAAATGTTGCTAAAATGTAGGCCAGATAAGGCAAGAAGAGGGGAAAATAGAAAACTTTTCTCTCTCCTAGACCCTGGGAACAACACAAACTTTCATGTTACATCTGGGACTGCATTTGAGTCCTGTATCTTTTTGTGCTTCAAGAGCTGCTCCATCACTAACAGACCTGGAGACCCCCATGACTGCTGCATCCGTTTTCTCGTGGTCTAACTGGCCTGGAGTCTGCTGATTCCAGAATCAGGGAGCACCAGCAGATCACAGAAACATCTTTGCTCATGCAGTTCCCAAATCAGCGTGGAAATGTCATCACAGGCTGGCAAATTGGGCTCCCCAGGTCAGACCTCAGGGTCAGACCTCAGATGACATTTCAACCTGGGACAGATGCAATTTGTACCAGGACATAACTTCAATTTGCATCGGTTTCAGACTGAAAACTTCAGGGGGTTTTAAGAGCCAAACAAGTTCTTCCATCAAGGGGCTCCCTGACTTAGATAGTATATTTTTAACTCAATTCTTGCACTGCTCTTCACGCTGTCACACTAACACACAAAGCAACATTTTCCCAGGAGAGGACTGAGCCCTCATGTGAGACTTGTATGGAGAAGTTTCCTTTCTGCTTATGTTTCAGACCCTATAATGAGCTTCCAAGGACTGTGACATCTAATTAAAGAGACATGGGGTCAGAAACATTGTGAAAATAACTCAGCCAAAAATTCCTAAATAGATTTAGTTCCTCTTCGTAACCTGTACTAGCAAATTTGCATCCATTGTATCCATCCAAACTATATCCATTCACTGTATCTTATGCCAATATTATCCCATCTTTTACCAGATCATAACACAGGTTGGCTTAGGAAGAACCACCACAAGCCATGGCACTGCGTACCAGTGATTCAAACCCCAGAAACACTTCAAGAATGCAAACCCAGCATTATCCAGTGCCTACTGCAACAGGCTGGCTTGAGGAGTTATGCAAAAATGCAGGTACATCTAATGCAAGCAGTGTTTCTGCTGTAAAATGAATTATTCTCATTCTGGAGTAAGGCGAAAAAACTGAATTAAAAAAAAATACAGCACTATTCCTCCTCCTCAGTTTCTGTTCCCTTCAGCTGCCTGGTAAGTGGGATTAAGTAATTTCTGGGAGCAAGGCAGTCTTTTGGTTTGTAAGAACTTCATAGAAGGAAACAAAAATCCACTTATATAAAAAGGTACTGAGTGAAAAAAAAACTACATCAGAAACCAAAGGTTTTCAGCATCTTTTGATTTGTGGCTCTGTGCACATTTTCTAGTGAAGAGGCAGACTTAGCAAGTTTAAGTCTGTGGCTTTGCTTCCTCCGAGTTACCTTTCACAGAGACCTTAGGGGTAAGGTCCTGACCCCTGCTCTAAGGCTGTGGTTTGAACCCACAGCTGTTTTGCTTTAAAAGGTCCAAATTTTGCTCCTCAGTTCCCAAGGAAAGAGGGGACACGTCCTAGCAGTGCTCCCAGCAGATCCCACAGGGCTGCCCATGGCACCCGTGGCACCAAAGTCCCACTACATCCAGGGGGATGGAACAGGAGGACAGAGCAGGGCTGCAGAAACCATCTGATTTTTGCCATGAACTCCAGCAGGCTGTGAATTCCCCAGCCAAACCTGCAGATACCGCTTGTCCCTTCCCAAGGGTACCTGGGGCTGTCAGCAGCCAAACCGGGGTGAGCTGTTCCCACAGGGACCCCACACCACACAGACAGGGCTGTGACCAGCAGAGCTGGGTGGGGAGAGCAGCGTGTGTGTCCAGGACACTTCTCATTACAGTGATGTGTTTGCTTTGAAACGGAGCCTCCAAACATCGCAGCTTTTAAGGCCCCCACCCCACCTTTTCTTGTTTCAAACATCTGAGCTTTTCCCTTAAGACAAGTTTGGCTTTCAGAAAATCACATCTGAACTGGCAGAAAGCTCAGCATGCAATATAAATGTTTTCTTTAAAAAAAAAAAAATTAACATTCCTACTGGCATTTTTTGAGTCTTTCTCACCTCATTTTTCCACACAGACAAAAATGTTCTGTAGTAACTCCTCAAATTATTTGCAAGACAAAAAATTTCAACAGGATTAAAAGCTTGGTAATTAAAAGCAATTTTAAAAAAAGCTGGGAAAATAAAAAAGAAATAAAATTTATTACTACCAGAAATATCCTGAAGATTATAAATTTACCATTTTGGCTGGGAAAACCAGAGCTGAGCAGTAAAAGAAGTGGAAATGAGTAATTATTGATACATGTTTTTGTATAGCTAAAGAAATATTGTTGTAGCTAATTTAAAAAGATATTTTCTAAATAGTTTTGAAATATAATTAAAATAATACTTTTTATAACCCCAAGTTAAATACTTCATGACAGTTCTATAATGCTTTTAATTGCATTGCCTAATGTAAAAGTCGTAATTCAAATGTTTATACAGAAAAACTAGAAAGCAATTGCTTTCATTCTAACCCTTTGTGTAAAAATCGTAATCTAACTGTCAAAACAGTTGATAAAATTAAAGATTCGAAGAGAAATTTGCTTAATGTTTGTTATCTTTGGCATAGCTTGAGTGATTAGAACCACTGCACTAAACAAATTGAGTTTTCATCAAACAAACTTATTGTTGTTACACGCTCAAGAGAATGAGCTGAGGTTGTTTAGTCTGGATGGGAAAGAAGTGTGGGGGAGAAGACATGATAATAGCCTTTAAATATATAAAACACAGCTGTAAAGAGACAGGGGAAACGTGTTCTCAGTGCCCCTGGTGGATAGGTGAAGGAGAAAGCGAGACTCAGGCTAGAGATGAGCCAGGGCAGCAGAAGGTGGAGAGAATTGACTCAAGACCCTCACAGAGCCTCCATTTAGGTATTTTTAACAACAAACATCTACTGGGCAAGGCAGAGGAAAGGTCAGTGCAGCCCTGGGACAGCAAGATGCGGGTTTTGGAGATTCTGGGTGTGTGGATCCCCACACAGGCTCCAGAGGAGATGGGGAGACCCCCAGGCCCCTCGTGGGTTCAGGCTGCCGAGCAACATTTTTGACCTTGCTCTGCTGCATCATTTATTTTGTCCCATTAGAGACAACCCACATCCCTCGGGGTGTGCTGCTGCCAGCTGAGAACTGGCCAGCTCCTGACACCTCTCCCAGCCTTGTTCCCATGGCAGTGGTACTTCCCAAACCATTCCCACCTCTTCCTGCTGCTGTCACAGCCCCATCACCCTCCCCTTGGGCACGCACATCTGCACCACCAGCTGCACCACTTCCAGTGCCATCAGCTGTGCAGCTCCTGCCACCCCTGCAGGAGTCTCTGTGGGAAATCCTTGTCTTTTCACGGCAAGACAGAGGGACAGATGGCTGCCAAACCCAAGAGGCAGAACTGCTTGTAATATGTATTTGCAGTAGAGTATTACATGATGTGAAAATCACTTTCCTACCATAAAGTTCCAGTCAGCACCAGTGTGACAGCTGAGCCCAGTGTGTGTTGGCCAGTTCACAGCTCTCCTTCCAGCTTCACGAGCCTCGCGCCGCAGCGTGTTGTCCTCTCCCCTCTCCCAGCTCTGCAGCACTGCAACACAGCACGCTGGGCTGAGACAACTCCCTTCTGCAAAGTGAAATGCTGGGAGTGGTGTGGGACGCTGCTCCCATCCTGCTGCATTCCCACAGGGCACCCAGAAATGCTGTTGTTTGTGGGAAGGCACGGCATGGAATCCGTGCACGCTGGTTTGGCTCATTTTCAGCCTGGGTGGCTGAAGGGACACCAGGTCAGGCCACGTGTTCGGTGCCACAGAAGGATGTGTGACAACACCTACCTATGTGCAAGCCAAGCCATCCCCTCCTCACCTTTCCCGTATCCTTGCAGTACGATACCAGATATTTCTCCATGGAGTCTTGTCCACAGCACAGCCACCTCCTCCTCATTCAGCGTCCCTGGCGGTGTCTGTAATGCAAATATAAAAAAGAATTATAAAAAAGAACAACCAAGGAACCCATTTGGAGACCAGCAAGCTGCAGGACACACATTATCCTAATTCCCCTCCCCATCCTGCAAACACTTAAGCTACAAGAGGCAGAAGTGCAGGGTTAGGACCTCACCATCCCCTCAGCTGCCAGAGAGGTGAAGGGAGCCCAAGTTCAGGCAGGTTACCCTCAGCACTCCAAACAGGAGCTCTGAGACAGCACAGCCAACTTTGGGTGCAGCTTTGACACTCCAGTGTCACCCTGAAGAAGCACCACCTGTGGTGCCCCATGTCTGGAGGGCCTGTGCTTCAGGTGACACTCAGGGAGCTCCTGTAGCCCCGGCAACCCCCCACACAACACCTGCTACAATTTTAAGATGAAACATTGTGTCTTTCCCGCAATAAAGTTCACAAAACGTTGAAACTTTCTCCCTGTAACAAGCACACACAAAAGAGATATAACCCCCCACGTGTTTATTGTTGATCTTAGTGACGGGTTGCTCGCCAAGGCTGGATCTGGGAGGAGGCTTTCAAAGGATTGCCGAGTTAGAGTGCTTGGCTCTTACCGAGGCTTTAGTAGGTAACTTCCTTCTGTGGCTTTGGAGAGTCCTCCCCATCAGCCAGTTGCTGCCTTTCACAGTGTTTGTGTAGAAGTTGTTTTTCAGCGGTTTCTGTGGGAGGAGAGTGTTTTCTTTAGTTTTTGAATACAGCCATGACTGCACACCCAGCTGACACCCACTGGCTTACTAACACCACACACTGATGATGATGGTGCCACTGGCAGGGTTTGAACCATAGCTATAAAGCCTGTAAATAAGCAGGCTGATGGCCAGGGAGGCTTAGCAGCTCCTTGGTGAGGTGTCTGAGATTGTTGGAGATCAATCACCCTGCCTACAAACACTGCTATCAGACCTCTGCCTGCAGTAAATGGAGAGGTTAATACAGCAAGCTCTGATTAAAACAGGAGCAACCAAAATTAGACCTTTACTGCTGCAGCAGGAAGGTGAAAACAAGGATGGCTGGTTTCTTCTGGTGGTGGAAAACTCTGGGTTTGGAGCTGAGCTGAAGAGGAAAGGCTTAATATAATGAGAACATCTCAATTCATTTTGGGTCAACCAAAAACATTTTGCTTGACCAGTAACAAAATGTTCTGGTTTGCTTGGAGGCCATTTAATCTTTTTTAAAAGTCAAGTTAGAACACTCAACTCACTTCCTTTTAAATTTAGGTCCATTGAAAATGAAAACATAAAAGAAAGCTTCAAACTAAATGATGTTCCATAAAGTAATCTGCTTCTGCTTGAAAATGCTGAAGTGAAGCATTTCAATATTTAAGGAAGGAAAGAAGGACTTCTATTGTTTTGTCTTGTCATTGAGTGACTTCAGCCTAGATTTGTGAGTTATTTTGGTTGCCTGCATTTTCACTGGGGATTTCATTTTTTATTTTTATTTTTTTAAAACTCATTTAATACTCTCTACTTGTTCAGTCTGAGGTACAAATGGTCAGGTTCATCAGAGGTTCATAAGAACGTGACTGAGGTGACAATTTGTACAGATGTCAGGCAAACACTTTGGGGTCTTTCCCCCCCCCCTTTGTATTTTAGTTTTCCTTTGAAATTGTTCCCGAATTTCAGAGAAGCTGTGGGGTCCTCAGGACCCCTGAACCATGCACAGAGCAAAACTGTCCAAGTCTGCGTGCTCTGCTGTGTAACCTGCACACCACAAAAATTCAGATGCCATCTTCAGTCCTGCAAAATATTAAGACAGGCATTTAAGATTTACCCGAGTGATTAAGCATGAGCAGCTTGTAATTGTTTCCAGATCCCTCTGCTAGCAGGAGAAAAGGCTCTGCAATCCCTGTCCACGTGCTCAGTGTAGCAATGCGCTCACAAACAGAGGAACTGAAGATGAACCGGGGAGGACAAACAGATATCCTGAGTTTTGAGACTAAGCCAGTATTGCCTTTGAATTCAATACGGACTGTCCAGCTCAGAAAAGCAGGATTATCGAGCCAGGGTACGTCAGGGTACGTCTGCATCCTCCCCGGAGCAACACCTGTGCACCAGCAACTAGAAAACCCTCCCAAGTACACATGGTCAGATTCAGTCTGCAATTTTTCATCCGGCTTGGGAGTGTTAAATGAAGATCAACTGCTGAAATTGGCCTCATTTGGGGAATCTGACTCTGTCTGTGCTTACAGGAAAGACCTTTGTCCTCCAGGTTTTATGTGAAGCCTCAAAGATTGCAGACTTTCTGTGTAAGCCACAAAACAATCCAGGGAGCATCTGGAGAGAGACTTGCCTCACATCCCAAACCCGTCCCTCCATGCAAGCCTACTGATATATTTTTCCCACAGAATGCTTGATCATGAAAAGAGATCTTCCCCAACTTGCTGAGGGCTTCAAAAAAAAGACTTTAGCAGCCCCAGCCCAAGTCTGAAAGCAAATTCAAGGGTTCGCCATTGCCTTTGAACACAGCGGGAATCTACTCCAACAGGTTAGATCTCAGGGGCCACGTTGCTCCCAGGATTTAAACCAGACCACATGTGAAATGGCAACTACCTCTTGATTTTATATTTTATTTTATTTTTAAATAGGATAATTTAGGGGCCATGTTTTTCATTATGATTATTACCACTGTTTTAATAGCAAATTCAGTGGTGCTGCCTCCCCTCCTTAATGAAGGGAACCAGAGACTGGTGCTCAGTTTCTCCCACTTTCTAGAAATGGTCTCGGCAAATCTTTTGTAAAAAAAAAAAAAAAAAATCCACAGTATTTTTCCCATTCTCTCTCTCTCTCTCCCCCCCCCTCCAGAGAGAGGGTTTTCATCGGCTCAGACCATTTTTCTTCCACCACCTCTTTATCTTAACCTTTTCTCAAAGGTTGCATTTATTTTCCGAGGTCCACGGCCAGGACAAGAACACAGAGGGTGCAGCTGACACTGTCTTTTGAGGATCTCTGTCACCATTGCAAGAGACACAAACCTGGGGGTGGGGAGGATGTCTCTGGAAGTGGCTCCTTTCCTCATCCACTCCAGTTCACCCAATCAGGCCCTTCACTGGAGCTCACTGCTGCCCATCAGAGCATGTCCCTGGAGCCAGAGCTGCCTTCAGTGCTTGGATTGTACAAACCCCTTTCCTCTTCCTCCTACAGTCCTGGCTATCAAGTGCACATCTGACTGTTCCTCTGAACCTCTCTGAAATCACTGCTTCCTCTCCATCCAGCTCCAGGCTGGAATTGAGCTGTTCTCCCTCCCCTGGGACCTTGTAGTGAATTTGGCTGAGGAGGAGGCAGACAATGGTTTGTGCCATCCCTTCTTGTGCAAAACCCTCCCTGAAGAGGAGTATGAGGAGATGGTCTCAGATAAGCCCACTGCCAGGGAGAGAGGTTCACCACCCTCCCTGGAAACTTTGCCAGCCCTGGTCTTCATCCAGATAGGAATTCTTAACTTGGGGCAAAAATGCTTCAATTCTCAGTGTGAGAGAAGAGTGAAAAAATACATTGCTGCCATTATAGTGCACGGGTAAAAGGAGTTCAGGTAGTCTTTGAAGAGCCTTGGTGCTGAAACAAATGTTTAAATTAGGTAAGAATGGATCTTCTGCCAGAAATTACCTTTGCTTTGTTAAGCTGCCTCCTCTCCAAGGCTGTCTCTCCACAGTTAGGGTGGTTGGCACCAAATCTGGCACTGACCCCATGGGATTCAGAGATGGAGAGGTGGGACATGGCTCTGCTGTTTGAGGAGGCAAGAGAAACATCTGCAGCAAAGGACAGAGCTGAGCCTGCACAGGAGCATAAAGGGGTGGCAGCTCCCACCTGCAGCAGGTTTTAACCACATCTACATATCAGGGTGCAACATTAGGGTGCTTCCATTGAAGCATATCCATGCAGACTCAGGATTGTGTTTTACTCAGCAGAAGTAGATTTTCTACTCACGTGGGCAGAGGAAGGTTTTCTCTTGTGCACTCACCCATCCACCCATGGCCAAAGCCAGCTCAGTTCTGGTTTGTAGAGTTGAGTCCTGGCCACGCTGTTCTTCAGCTCCTGCTCTTTCTGGTCATCTCTGCCAGCTTGTGGTGCCCACAGTGCTCCTGGTCAGCACAGTGGCCCCATCTGCACCATGACTCAGGGCTCACAGCTGAATGACAGCAGCAGGAATTGCCTGCAGGGAAGATGTTGAGAAAGAGATGAGAAAAAACTGCACCCCACACCAGCCAAAAACCCAACTCACTTCCACACCCACCAAGCTCTGGAATTGTGGCAAAGCCAAGCCTAAAGGGGCCACTCAGCCCCCGCAGCATCTTGAACTATGCTTTTCTAGGCCGTCACAAACCAGCCCTGACAACGCGAGGAGGAAACAGACTCAGAGCAAATCCCCCCCAGGCACTGCCTGCATTCCCCACTGCGGGCTGGGCTGCGGGTCAGCGCCTCCAAACAGCACAGCCCACGGGGAACGCAGCACCGGCTCGGCCCCGTCCTTGGAAAGCCGCTGGGGAAAACACAGCGGGGGCTCAGGGTCAGCACAGCCCCGCCGAGGCGCCGGGGATACCTGAACCACTAATTTGCCAGACGCCCCCGAGCCCGGCTTGGCAGCCCCCCCCCGCCGGCTGCCCCGGCGTGGAAACCATTAACATTTAAAAATACTTACAGGAACGGAGGGGTGGGGGGAAGAAAAAAAGAAATGGTATTTGCGGAGGCCCATTCCTCAGCGCACTTTCATGTGTGCCAAAGTTTGTTGGCATGGCTCGGAGTTTGATAGGGAACATCTGGGCTGCTGTTGCTGCCTGGATATTGGCTGAGGGCAGCGAACAAAAGGGGTTTGTGCAGGAATGCGCGGGGAGGGGCGCGGGGTGCGCGCGTCCAGGGACAGCTGCGAGAGGAGAGAGGCAGGAATACTCTCCGAAGAAGAAAGCCTAATGCACATCCCATGTTCCTGCTTTTTAAGAGGGGATAAAAGCCTTCCCCCTCCACTTCTTCTCTTCCCTCCCGGGGTACTGAATGTGAGCAGGGCTCAGACATAGATCCGTGCCCTGCTGCCTCTGTACATTCGATTATTGATGCAGTCTGGAAAAACAATTGGGGTGGAGGGAGCAGGTTAGTGGGAGAGCAGGGAAGTCTGAGCCCAACCACGAGGTGCAGCACCAGCACATAAGACAAAACCAGCAAGATCCTTGGAAGCAGCCTGATACCATGAGGGGAAACACCCAGTGACAAACCCCCTAAAATTGCACTGAGATTGGTGCACGGACCCACTAGGAGCAGCACTGGCTCAAGTTTCCTCCACTCCTGTTGGAAATTTGGGGTAAGGAGTTGAAAATTAGTACCATACCACTGCCAGTGACACAAAATCCAGGGACTACTTGCTACAGGGTCCTGCTGGATCTGACACCAGAGGATGGCGTGGAGGGATTGAGGAAGAACGGATTCACACTTCAAGAAGGCTGGTCTGTTGGGAACTGTCTGGAAACTCCAGGCCAGGTGCAACCCTTGGCTCTAAAGATCACAGCATCCACACTCCATGCCATGTGCTCCACCCCCAGAGTCACTGCTGCCTCTGGATGGACACCAGAGACTTTTGGTTGAACCTCATGTAACATCTCTGACATTCTTCCTTTTGCAGCTCCTTTCCACCACACCATGGTGTTCACAAACCTTCTGAACATCTCACTCTATGGACTAAACCTCTTTCTCAACATGTGCAGTGCCTGGTGTAATTTCCTACCTTCTAATCTCTCTTTGCTCATCCTATTTTTGTCCAACTCAATACCATGAGCAAGTTTTGAGCATTTAAAGGTATGGGTTTGCCTTTTTTTTTTTTTTTTTTTTTTTTTTTTTTTTTTTTTTTTTTTTTTTTTTTTTTTTTTTTTTTTTTTTTTTTTTTTAAATCAATAGAGAATTTTTCTCTTTTGTTTCTGGTATGTACATTTGGCCTCAATCCTACCCAAAAGCCTACATTCCCCCTTGGCTCCAATTAAGGATACAAATTGGGTCTGCTCCCTAGAGCAAGCTTTCCATTGCCTCTGTCTTTGGGGCTCCTTGGAGTCACTGGAGCCAAACCAGAGAGGGTATTTGGGCAGGACTTGGGTCACACATCCCTCTTGCTACCCCTACCTTGACAGGGAAGCCCTCTGGGAACACTCCAGGGAGCAAAATCTAAACACAAAGGCTCCAGGTCAGCAAAGACCCTTGGGTCTGACAGTCAAGGCAAATTTTTCCAGCTCTAATCTCCTTTCCAAGCCTTGGCAGCATGCCTACACACCATCATCGTGAGCTGACTCAACACCAGCCATACAACCCTGGGGCAGTGGGCTTGTGCTGGGGGTGCTGGCTCCAGGGCTGGGCAGATAAGCTTCCCCCAGTGATATCTGCATTTCGATTACATCACTGGCAAGACAGCTTTTGCCAGAGCCAAAGCAGAGCTCCTGGCACGCTAAAGAAAGCAGCCAGGCCAGCCAGGGGCTGTGCACAGCACTGTGGGGAGGGCATTGGTCCCTCTCACTGGGGCAGCACAGCCTGCAGACCCACCCCTGTGCCACGCACACAGTCCTACCCAGTCCTACCTTCTGCAGTTGGGAAAGGAGCTGCAGAAAACCCTGCAGCCCTGGCTGGGGAAGGTGCAGCCACACAAACACGTGACCAAGCTGAGCAGTCAGTGCCCTGCTTTAGAGAGGAGGAAAAAAGCATAACTACTGAGTTTAGTGCTGCTGAGGACAAGGGGCTTGAGAGTAGCCAGCCTACTCCTGATTTGTCGGTTAGTCACGTTGCCAAAGTGCATTTGCCACCTCTCAGGGGCAGGTCTGTGCCTCCATTCATCCTCTATATCCTTCTCCAGGACGCCTTTTCTCTTAGCTCTGCCTGAAAACAGTGCAGTGCCACCAAGGGCCATGATGCTGGAAAGGCACCACCCTCCAGCCGTGCTCCTGCCTGACCCCACTCCCATGTCCTTCCCTGACCACGGCCAGCAACCGAGAAGAACCAGCCCCAACAAAGACAACAAGCCTATTTCAGAAGCACAGAAACAACTCGGGAGCTGAAATCCCACTTTCCATGTGGTTAAAGGCCCCATCAGGAGGCAGGCTGTTAATCACCCCAGATGCTTCTGAAGGCCGTAATAGAAGCTCATCTGTATCTTCAGTGTCCCACGGGACCCACGTGCCTTTGAAGCAGCTCCCGAGGGATCACGATGGTGGTGACTGGGAAGGAGGATGAAATCCTGGAGCCAAAACAGGGCTTGTGCCCCGGGACAATTAAAATCATGAGTCCATGTGAAGTCTCACAGTGGTTCAGGCTGCTCCTGCTAATGAGGCTCCACCTCATTTGCCCCCCCATCTCTACATCTATCCACCACCTAACACAGGCCAGCTGGGAAACTCCCTGTGCAATGGCCTTGGGAAGGGGAAGGGGCTGGTGGGAAAATGCCCATTTAACTTTTTGCAGGTGAGGGTAGTTCAGACAGTTATTTCAACTTGAGAAAAAAACCCTCAAATGTGTTTCCAAATTGTCCAAATGTTTGGCTTTTACATTTCCTTCAGTGACATCCCAGGGTTTTAGTTTAAAAGGTCTTCTCTCTTCAGAATTAAGCTGCTTCTAGGGGAAAAAAAACCCACCCTATCAAAACAGGAAATTATCAAAGAAAAATATTTTCATTGACCTTAAAGATCTTACCCTTTGGTTTTCTAGTTCACAAAATTTTTCAGAACTGACTCCTCGTCCCCAGGAGAGATGAGAAATACTGTCAGTGCCTCAAAAATGCTGCCAGAAGGAAAGAGTTATTAATTATCAACCTCTATTTTTAACCTGCAAGCAAGAGTCACTTCTCATGGGTGACAACTGGATTCTCTCGAGGCTCTGTCATTGCCTTCATCAAGGCTTTTAAGTCAGAGGTAGGATTTTTTTTTTTGGTTTTGGATGGGACATGCCCCAGGCACTCTGCAAAGCCCAGCCTATCCATTTCCAAAGCCAGCATCAGGTATCACATGCTTTTACTATCCATCTATTTAGAAAAATTATGTCATTACCTTTCCCCCCTCACCTATATTCCAGCTGAAAAAAGCTCATATTTTCTCCCCCATAATTCAAAGAAGACTACATGGATTCAGGTTTTTTCCTCGGAGTTTCAAACAAAAAAAAAAAAAAAATTCCCCACTGGGTAAGGGCCAGGCATGCAAAGATTTCAACCTGAAAAGTGAATGTTTTCAAAAGTTATGAGCTTATGAAAAGGAGGGCTATAATGGAAACTGTTTTACTGCCATAATTATAACACCACGAACAGAGCCTGCTGCAACATATTACATTATCACGCTCCTGTCAGCATTTAATAGAAGTCTTAACTAACTGCTGGGGTGGAACATGGCAAGAATTTATTTTCAGGAAAACTTTTGGGAGCTGTGTAATTCTGGGCTTTTTTGATTTTTCAAGTCCATCTCAACTGGAGCCTTAGTAGAGCACGTAGGACAGACTAAATACAAGACACAAGTGTGTATCTTATTGGTGTTACTTAATGGTAGGATTTTGTTTTCTGTTAAATTACATAATCCAGAAACAACAATAAAGTCTGTGTTGGGTTGCAGCCAGACACTTCAGAGGTAGATTTTAACCTTCCCCAAATTTGGGGTTATTCAAAGCCAGGGGCTTGATTCAGCTTTTTGGGGAGGGGAGCTCACATGTAACCCGTGGGGCTGACCTGCCTCTGCCATTTGCTTTCCTCCCTGTCTTCCACCACCCCAAAAATACTCCCACTCAGGATTTGGGGGGGGGGGAGTTTGTGTTTTCCTGCCTGAGCTCCTGGGCTCGACACAGTCACAGAGGAGAGGTGTGGGGAGGGCCAAGCACAGCAGTTGTAGGATCATTGTAATTAATTTCTTGCCTATGGCTTTGCAGGAGATAACCAGCTCCAAACCACACTGACCACTGCGTGTTTCCTCTCCCCTGCAAATTTGGGCAAAGGCTCCTCCTTTGGGAGGGCTCCTCCTACTGCAGCCCAATCTCCAGAGGCATCTCCAAGAGTTATCTCCATCTTTCCAGGTCCTCAAGCCTGCAATGATGCCCTGCCAAGCTAGATTTGTGAGCTCCCAGAGCAGGCTGAAGTGGTGGTGGGAGTGGGGTGGGGAGGGAGGAGCAGCAGCTCAGCTGCAGTCAGCACCAGGGTTTGGGGTGCCTGGGGCTGTATGGAGAACACTAAGAGAAAGTTCTGCAAACCTGCTGCCCAACTAGACAGGGAGCACAAAGGAGACATCAGATAGATGGTGATAAGGGATCTGCTAAGGTTAAACCTGGCTCTGGCTAAGCCAGGACATTAAACCTGGCTCTCCCCACTCCCACACCTGATCTGCCAGACCACGCCTCAAACATTCTGGCAAGCACAGGGCTTCTTGGCAAAGCAGGGCAGGTAACACTGGGCAGCTTATGCCACAACAAACACTCTTTAGTCTCGCCTGGCAGCCCAAACTTCCTTCTAATCCCTTTCTTGCCCCCTCCATCCCCTGCCTGGCCCCCGCTGCAGCAGAACAGCGCTGCAAGCTGGCAGGCCACATCCATTTCCCTGATAGCACCAAGAGCCCAACAGCTGCTCTCTGTCCCTTTGGAGATTAGTTTGTTTTCCTAACACAATTACTGCCACGTGGCCCCGCTTTCTGCCGGGATCAAGCCTGGATAGAGATAAAGCAGCGATAAGATCGCAGCCATTCCAGACCCCTTCGCAGCCCCGCTGGCCGCGGTTCGCTCTCCTCGGCACGCGAACACCCTGGCTGCAGGTTACCTGCTCCCATCGGTGCCAGCCCGGGGAGTCTGGGGAGCTTTCTGGCCCTAAACCCCAAGGATTCGGCTCCCAGCTTTCTGTGCAACACCAAGGAGTTTGTTTTATGATGTAACTGCGCAGCGCTGCCTGGGTGCAGCCGCACCGCTGAGCTCACCCGAGGCGATACGGAGTCCCTTATCAGCACCCTGCCGGCTCAGCGCTTTGGGGAGCGCAGCTGGCCAGCAGCTGGCTCCAAGCTGACCCTGCCTGTACCAGCTCAGCTGGCTCTGCCCAGTGTCTTCTCCCCCTGCCTGGGATTAGCCCAGTCTCGGCTCTGCCTGCGCATCACCCGGTGAATGAGGCAGCTTTACCCCGGTGCATCTGCTCTGCTGAGCAGGAGCATCCCCAGCAGGGCTCACACCGGTACCGGCAGCACCAGCGAGGGGCTGGTTGGCTCCAGAAACATCAACGGAGAGATCACAGGGGCAGGTTCGGCCCAAACACTCTCCATCACATCCAGCAAAGGCCCTCTCTGTCTTCCCAGAGCCTCCTGTGGGAATCCTCGTGTGGGGAACAGCTCCTGAAAGCCTCTGCCGGGACAGACGCGGTGCACGCCGGGAGAGGACACTCAGGGAGCCTTCAGAGAGACAAGCATCCTTGCCAGATGTCTCCCATAAAGCTGCAAGTACTTTATTTTAATAATAAGCCTTAATGTATTCATTAAAGGCTCCCAGTGACCTGGGATGAATTTCCCCGCTATTGTAAAGGGCTGTGGGAATCTGGAAACCGCTGCATTACAGTTAATAACTTTAATTTTACAAGGCCCAAAATAGACAACTGAAAAAATACACAGACTCACTGTTTCCAATTAAGAAGGGATTTCTTCTAATTCCTCTGCCACCGGCGCTCTTGTTTAGCAAACAACATCAACAGATATTCAGCCATGGACAAGGGGAAAAGCAAACCAAGGCAGTTGCCTTTTATATCCCCATTAGAAGAGCTGAAGAAGAAAGCAGGACCCTTCCTCCTCACTGGGTTATCAGAGCATGAAAGAGCCACAGCCTGGTCAGCATCAAACTCACACTGGGACAGCCATGGGTAAAACTTTAACCCCTGCTTCGTAAGCCTCAAGTGACTTTGATCCTGAGGAGATGACTTCCAATCCATCCTCTCCCTTTTCCCTCACAGCTAAGGTGGTTAAAGCAGTTTGGAGGGAGTCCTGAGGTGCTGGGAAACTACCAGTAGCTGGGTGAGCATCCTGTAAGTACTTGGGGCTACCAGATGTCTGATTGTAAGGTCAGGAAGGAATATCCCCCCCCTAGATCAGCTTGGCTGAGATTGCCAGGGATTTATTTTGCCTGCCTCTTTCTTCCCCTGTCAAATGGAGGGGTAGATGGTTTGCCAGGGGAAACAAACAAACAAACAAACAAACACTGGGAAGCAAAACAATTCAGCCTGATTTTTTTTTTTTTTTAAATTTCTGAGAAACTCATATTTTCCAGCCCAAATATTTTCATTTCCAGTTTGGTTCTTTTGGGTTTTTCTGTTAAAGCTGGAGCTTTTTTCAAAAAGAGGCCTGACATTTCCTGTGGAAGCATTCATTTTGCCACAAGTCAAGCCTTCTGGGGTGGAAAAGGGAGTTTCGAAGGGTGAGGTTTGACTAGTGTACCAGTCTGGGTGTGTTGGCAACCAACATCTGCCTGCTCGTGCATCTCCAGAGTCACCTCTGCCAGGCTCACCCCACGGTGCTGGCACCCTCCCTCCATGTGGCAGGGACACACATACCCTCCTTACCATCACCATGGCATTAATCAACACTTGTTAAAGCAGATCTCAAAAACTTCCTCTGCAGACTTACCCTGCCACAGGGAAGCTGCTTAGAAACCCACGGGTGATCTCAGCTCACGTAGATCCCAAAACACTCTGTGGACCATCTGAAAAACACAGCAGGTCCCATCCAGCAGGATGGAGCACACCAGTTTTAGGAAGTCCTGAGAGGAGCAGGGAGTGGGGTTCGTTCATCCTTGTGGGATCCCTTCCAACATGAGATATTCTAAGATTCCATGCAGTAATCCAGCCTCGAGCCCCTCATTTCACCTCTTGACCAAGAGCTGCCTACGAGCAGCACTGAATTTGCACCAGCCCTCACATAGGAGCAGATTGAGTTTTCCAGCCAAACTGATAAAAATGAAAAATGATTTTCATATGCCTGGACTCAATTTCCCCATAAATAAGACAGTGATGGAAACTTGGGGGAAGGGGGTTGTCAGGGCTGTAGGTAATCCGTCAAAGCCACACCAAGCACACTGCACTAGCCCTCGCCCAGGAAAGCATCTCTATTTAGGAAAGCCAGCAGGCACATCCCTGCTCTCCTCTGAAACCACTGGGAACTGAGAGCCAGGCAGCTTAAAGATATCTAAATGCCTGAAGGAACAGATAAGACCTAGAGACCAGCTGGCCAAACCCAGACCCTCAGCAGGTATTTAAGGCAAACACTTTTTAATGGAAAATGAAGAGCTCACGCACTTCTGCGGGCAGGGGCTTGAAGTGCACGCGTGCCTTAAAAAAAACACATTGCTGGTGGCTTTCCTGAAGAGATTGGGACACACACGTTGTGCATCAGGGTTTGTAAACCTTCGTGTTATCACAGAAAACCAACCTCTGCGATCCATCAGGATGTCTCCACTCTAGACATCCCCAAAAATCCCTAAAAACCACGGAGAAGCCAAACCGCTGCGCCTCACCTATAACACCGACAAACCCACAAGCAGCGCAGCCCTTCCCCAACTCTCCAAGCGCTCATTTCCTATTCCTGCCTGCAGCTCTACCACTGCCTTTCTCACATCAATAC